CTCTGCAGTCGGTGTCGTACTCTCAACTCTGGTCTTTGACGTCCTCCTGCTCTCAGATCAGTAGTTTACAGTCTCTGCTGTTCAGCTCCATGACCAGCAGGGGGCTTTGCTCCGCACAAGTAAACATCACACCAGCAGGACACACAAATATTTATCATCACATTCAAAGACGTTTATTTCAGGTGTGTGTGTGTGTGTGTGTGTGTGTGTGTGTGTGTGTAGCTCCCGGTGTCAGGCCGCACAGTGTTGCTGTGTGACGAGTCGTCGGTGCGTCTGCAGTGTGACGGTGACGAGTCAGTGGACCTGAGGGTCACATGGTCTGTCAGCCTGTCTGACCTCCCAGTATCTGACCTCCCTGACCTCCACGACATCGGTGAGCAAACACACGATGAAACTGTCGCACGAATGAACGAGGGAGGATCAATGTGAACAAATGAATTCTTCAACCTGTATTTTTCAGATGAATTCACCACATGTATGAACCAAGAGACACAAATATAAAACAAAGAAAATGTCGTCACTGATCCTCATGCCGACATTTTTCAGGTCTGTTCTTGAACGAATCCAGACTTCTGGAAGGAGTTCAGGGACTTCTTGGTAATATCCAGTCCACGCTAGTTTCCATGACAACACCAACATTCGGATGTTCCCGTGGTTACCACCTGGACGGCGATGGTTGCAGTGAGTCGTGCGGTCCAGTGGAGTGTTGTCTCTTGTGTCGTTTGTCCTGTACCTGAATCTCACCATCTGTGTCTTTGCAGTCGTTTGTCCTGCTGGGAGTTTCTCCAGGGAGGGGGCGTGTCTTCTGTGTCCACAGGGAACCTATCAGGATGAAAAGGGGCAGTACTTCTGCAACAAGTGTCCCAGAGGTTCGTCAGCTGCTGGAGCGTCATCTGTCCATCAATGTGAGTCATACAGTTGAACTCGCCTCCTGAGCTGCTCATCCAGCTGCTGTAGTGATTCGTCAATTATCGATCACCTGTCTGTCAATCACCTGTCAATCACCTGTCAATCACCTGTATCTCTGTGTCAGGTGTGACTGAGTGTCAGAGACGGGGTTTGCAGTGCTCAGAGCGAGGAGACTTCCTGTCGGCCCAGCCTGACTTCCTGTCCGGCAGGTGGAGGTGTTTCAGTGGAGAGGGGGCGGAGCTTGAATGGACCAACAGTGACAAAGCTCTGACTGAAGAGGAGTGTTCAGGTGATGAGGACGCAGCCAATCAGAGAGCAACTTCTTAACACTGTCAGGAGTGTGAAGCACTTTGTAACGTGTGTGTGTGTGTGTTGTAGTTCTCAGCAGGTTTCAGGCTGTTCCTGGATCAGATCTTATTGTCGGAGCTGAAGACACTGAAGTTCTGCAGACGATGACCTCTGACCTCAAATCCTGTGTCCAAGGTCAAACCCCCCCACTATCATTTGTTTATAGATTTGTGAACAAGTAGAAACTATGAACTGTGGTTAAAGTTAGGAGAAGTTGAGTCGATCAGATCAGCAGCTGAGATTTCATCATTCTAATCCCAAAGTTACTGTTTGTTTTCCTCAGCGTGTGCAGCCAACCCATCCTGCCACCATGTGGCGCTGTTCAGCAGACAGACTCAGTGTGAACTGTACAGCACACACACACAGAACACACACTGCAACACCTCCCAACAGGTACACACACACACACACACACACACACACACACACACACAGAGACAACATTTCTGAAAACAACACAATTATAATGTATTTAATGTGTGTGTGTGTTTTCAGACCACTGGGTTTCTGGGTAATCCTGAGGCTGAGCTCTTTGATTGGCTGAGCTGCTCACTGCAAGTGAGGGGCGGAGCTTCAGATCTGATGGTCATCAGGAAGAAAGGTACTGTTACCAAGGCAACTAGACAACTGGCATAAGCAAAACAAACATCACTGACGTGTGTGTGTGTGTGTGTGTGTGTGTGTTAGGGGAAGAGTTTTCCTCGCGGCAGCAGCAGCAGACCTTTGTGAGGATGAAGATGACGAAGGTGGTCTCAGGTGTGTTCAGGACTCAGGTGTTCTCTGGACGGACGTCTCTGTCTGACGCTCATCGTTTCTGTCAGGACGGCTGCAGCCGTGACACCTGCTGCGACGGATTCATCCTCAACCAGAACAGCCTGAACGGAGGTACGTTACCATGGAGACGCAGCATAAGAAGGGATCAATGAAGTTAATGAATGAATGTGTGAACGAATGCCCCTCCCCTCAGGTTCTCTGCTCTGTGGTTGGCTGAGAGCTCCGTCAGTCTTGATGTGTATGGACAAGGACTGGGATGTTATTGGACAGGGAACAGCCAATCGTATCTGTGGGGCGGGGCTAACCTACAATGAGCAGCAGAGGAACTTCCTGTTCAAGTTCGGAGGAAAAGATTTCATCATTAGTGAGAAGAAAAACACGACTCACTGATGTCACAACCTGTCTCTGTCT